AAACAGGCAAGTTAAAAGCTATCAAGAAAAGAGGCCAGGTTATCTACAAAGGAAAAACAACTATATTGACAGCACACTGCTCATAAGCAACAAGATAATTTAATGTTATAATATTTCAAAGTGCTAAGGGAAAATAATTCCTAACCTAGAATTTTGTCCTGAGCTAAACTATCATTCAAGAGTACAGGGCAGTTTATAATTAATAGACTCTAACTTAAAGAAAACTGAAACTTAGGAAACTAGGTGAAAAAACCTTTAAGAAACCCGAAGGAAGGAAAATAATATAAGAACAGAAATTTATGAACTAAAAAATAGAAAGGATCAATAGGATCAAAAGCTAAAGACATTAACTTAAGAGATTTAAAAAAGGATAAATGTCTAATAAAACAATAATTTTAAAGTCATGGAAAAGGCACAAAAAGAGGTTAAAGAGGTTAAAAGAGGTTAAATTTTTTTTTTAAATCATGAGAATACTATGAACATTATCCCATTAGATATAAAACTTTCTCTGTCTCTAACAGTTTCAAAAAACAGGCTAATATGCCATAGATTTCCAAACTGGAAGAGAACAATACATAGATATAAAATCCTTAAATATAAAATTAGCATCTATAAGTGAACTATAAAAGAATGTATATTATAATCTCTAGATCAATCACTAAAAAAATACAAAGAAGTTTAGTTAAAATGCCAATAGGAAAACTAAAATGACATTCTAAAAAAATATTTAAAGTCATTTAAAAAAGACAGGAAAGGAAAAATGAGGAACAAAAAACAGGAGGCAAATAGGAAACAATAAAATGGTACGTACAAATCTAATCATATAAATAACTGAATTAAATCTTTTGGGATAAACTCTCCAATTCTAATGTAGAGATTGTCAGAATGGATAAATAAGACCCAAGTAGATGCTATCTATAAATAAAACCCACTGAATAGAGACACCCAAGTGAGATAAAGGTAAATGATGGTAAAAGATATAACATGCAAACAATAAGAAGATGGGAATGGCTATGTTAAGTAAAAACAGATTTCAAGAAACCATTACCAGAGTTACAAAGGGGCACTTCATCAGATATAAGGGCCAAGTCATCAGAAAGACATAACAATCATAACAGTATATATGCCTAATAAAGTTTCAAAATGCATGAATCAAAATTTACAGAATTAAAGGGAGAAACAGACAATTCCAAAATCAACTGATTTTAGCAGTTGATAGAACTAGACAAAAAACAAAAACAAAAAAACACACAACCCCCACCCCAAATCGGCAAAGACACAGAAATTCTGAACAACACTATCACCACTATTTACAGCACTATACTCAACAAGGACAATATTTGTTCTTTCCAACAGCATATGGTTAGATTTACAAAGATGTGATGAAGTAGTACATGGAACACTGAAAATTACAACATATTGCAAAGGGAAATTAAGGAGGACCTAAAAACAATGAGAAGATATTTCATATTCATGGGTTGGAAGAATCAATATTGTTAAGATGGTAATTCACATCCAAATCAAAATCTTAGGATTTTTTGAAGAAATTGACAAAATGATATAAAATTTTAAATGAAAAGGCACACGATTTAGGATTAGTTAAAATAATCTGGGGTGGGGGGGGCAGCGGGAAGTATGTTTGGAGGACTTATATACTCCCTAATTTCAAGATTTACTTAAAACTGCAAAAATCAAGACATTGTGGTATTGGTACAAGAACATATAGATCAATGGAAAACAGAGTTTAGAAAGAGACCCATACTTACTGGTCAGCTCTTTTCCACAAAGGTGCCAAGGTAATTCAACAGGGGAAGGACAGTCTTTTCAGCAGATGGTGCTGGATCAACGAAACAGCTATATAGGGGGTGAGGTGGGGAGAAGGACCTCGACCCTTACAAATACCATATACAAAATTAACTTGAAATGGATCATAGACCTAAAAGAGCTCAAATTACTAAAAACATAAAATATAAAATACTTGTGACATTGGGTTAGGCAGAGATTTCTGAAATAGATCACAAAAAGCAACTCTAAAAAAAAAACAACTATAAAATTAAAAACTTTCGCTCTTTATAAAGAAAAAGCAAGCCACAGATTGAAACTAGTTGCTAAACATAAATCTGACAAAAGGCTCATACTCAGAATAAAGAGCTCTTGTAATTCAAGTAGAAGATTATTAACCCAATAAAAGAAATGAGTAAAAGACACCTCACCAAAGAGGATATACACATGGCCCATAAACACATGAAAAGATGCTCAACACCCATTAATCAATAGGGAAGTGCAAATTAAAGCCACAATGAGATACTATGAAACAATCACTAGAACAGCTAAAATTAAAAAGACACATTTCTAAGGTTAGTGATGATGTGGAGAACTTAAACTTATTCACTGCTAGTGGAAATGTGCAATGGTATAGCTACTATGGAAAACAGTATGGCACAATCTTATAAACATACACTTCTCATACAACCTAGGAGTTTCACTACCAAATACCTACTTAATAGAAATGAAAGCATGTCTACACAAAGACTTGAAAACAAATGTTATTTATAGCAGCATTATTCATTATAGGTTAAAAATTGTATACTACCTATATGTCCATCAACTGATGAATGGATAAGCAAATTATGGCATATTCATCCACTGCAATACTACTTAATTAAAAGAAGTACACTATTAACACACACAGCAACATGGATGAATCTCAAAAACATCATGCTTAAAGAAGTCAAACACAAAAGACTATATGTTATACAGTTCCATTTATATGAAACCATAGATAATGCAAAACAACAGTGACAAAAGCAGATCTTTGGTTGCCAGAGAAGGCTATAACGATGCCCTATACATTCGAGATGAATTTTGTTGTATATATTAGCAAGTCACATTCCTAAAATACATAGTGACCACATAGTATTTACTCCAGAAAAATATCAGTAATTTCTACTAATCTACCATATTCAAAACTAAAAGTCAAAAATAATTACAGCAAATACAAAAAAAAGTATTTGGCACTTTAGAAGTATTTAAAATTAAATCAAAATGAGAAAAGCATGCCCCTATTACTGCTTTTATTCAACATTCTACTAGAGGGCTTAATTAATACAATAAGTAAATGTGATATAAGAAATAGACAGGAAGTTATAAAACTCTTCTAATTTGCCAAACACTATTCTATGGGCCAGGGACTGTTCTAAGTGTTTCATACTTTTCAATCCTCACAATAGTCCCATGAGATGGGATTATGCAAATGAGGAGAGTTCAGGATAAGCAAGTTACCCAAGATTATACAGCTAATAAATAGCAAAATTGGCATTTGCCTCCAGGCATTGTAGGCACAGAATCCACTTTTTCCTACTATGCTATTCTTCCTCATATCTGTCTGCTTTGAAAATACAAGACACTCAATTACAAACTATTAGAACTATAAAAAGGCAACACATAAAAACTGGCAACTGATAGTGTTCTTATGCCTTACTGACAATTTAAAAATGTAGTAAAAAAAAAATCCCAAGCTTTCAGCTTTAAGAGCTCTATCCTTACATCCATCTGAACTTGTATCTTGATATGAATACATGTTATGAATATATCAGTTTTCATTTGTTTTTAGGCATTTACATAAAAAGATCCATAGTGCATCATTATAGAAAAAAATTGTAAGGTATTATAACATAAACTACAAATTAAAAAATGATTTTGAAAGATATTAGGAATACCAATATATTTCACAATTAAAGAATAAAATGCCAAAAAATTAAGGGCATTCATTGAATGACTAAAATGCTCATTCATTCAATAAAGAGGAAGAGAGGAAAGAGTTGAAAGAGGAAAACTCCAAGTTTTTCCAAATTATTTTAAAAATTCAAGGTAATTCCACTTAAAATCCCATAATATACATATCAAATTAATCTACAAAAATGTTCATAGAAACAAACATTTAGTTAAAATATAAAAAACATGAAAAAGAATTTAAAAACACTGAATTCATATAGTAGTTACTACTAGGATATGAAAGAATAGAATTGGGGTAGGTACACAGGAAACCTTAAGTGTATCTACAATTACTTTCTAAAAAAAAGAAAATATTAGAAGCAAATATGAAAATGTTAAGATTTGATAAAGCTGGGTATCAAGAAAAGGGGTATCCTATTTATTATCCATAATTACCTGGTTGGCATGTTTGAAATATTTCATAATAAAAATAATTAAATTAAAAAGATATTATTCCAAGACTTTACAAACTATTTATTTTGGAAGAAGCTATAATTCTGTAAATTTGTTAAGAATCTAGGGCCATTTTATTATACTATTTTAGGGCCTGAGAATTACCCAATACAGAAAAAGATAATCCATTTTATTCTTATAGGGCTTAAATTTATTAAACACTGTTGTCAAGAGGCTCTGATATGAAAGATATAAAAATTAAGTCTATTTTCAAAGAGCTCAATCTAGATGATGAAATGATTAACTTTCAAAAATAATGGGCAGGTATTTATGGTTCGGGGTAATAAAGTCTGACATTTCTGTATTATTTTTTCTTTTCCAACAGGAAAATACATGCATTACATTGTTTTGTTTCTGCCCATTAAGTACGGTTCACTGTAAAATTAACATTAGCATCAACATATTTAATAATGTAGAAGGAAAGTGTTTCTAATTGTAATTCTTACAAAGAAATTTGGGTAGGGAAAATGGGAGTGCTTTTTAGTGACATTCACTAAATGCTAGTACTAGTTAAAAATGAAACAAAAAATTCTGCAGTTTTTTTATGTGAAATAAACTCTGAAGCAACCCAAGCTTTCACCTTTAAGAGCTCTATTCTTACAACCATGTGAACTTATATCTTGATATGAATAACGTTATGAATATATCCGTTTTCATTTGTTTTTAGGCATTTACATAAACCAGTTATACATTTTTTCTTTTCTCAAATTATAAATGCCAAGAACCAGTTATAAAATCAAAACTGCCATAAAATTACACAAACCCCATCATAATTACCTTTAAAATTTTATTGAATTTCAAATTTAGACTTTACAATGTAATACAATATTATATTGCATATTTTCTAACCAGTATTTTCACCTGCATTACATGATTTCTGGATACGACTTTTAAGAACTGATACTGTCTAATTTTCCATCATATGCCACTTATACATTCATTAAAATATCACATACCTCCCTAAAACTTTTTTTTTTTGAATTTTTATAACAGTTTATTTGAATCAAACTGATGACATATACTGAGGAGCTCAAATGCTCCCCAATTTTTATCTCGATGTCAGAATTAAAAAATATAAGTTCAAATATTGAAAATTTAAGACATTAATATTGCAGCCACTGTAATATAGAAAATAAAAAATTTACAATTCTGTTTAAAATTGTTAACATTAATTGTAGTAATACAGTATGAATTTTTAACATAACCATATGAACTTTTCATTAAAACATTCAACCTTTCCTACTGAAGCATGTCCAAAGTTATAAAAATGTTCTGTTTTAAAGTAACTTATACTGAATGAATCCAAAATTAACTGTGGCACTTTAGATAAGACATGTATTCTACTGCATATTTTAAGTACCTAAGGTACAGCCTGATCAATAGTAGGTTACTGGAAAAAATGTAAAGCATGGCTTTCTTTAAGGAGTGAGTCGCTTGGGATCACGGGGGAACAATGAAGTCTGACGAATATTGTGTAGTCCCAAAAACAGCATAGTCACTCGTTCCAACCCTAGGGAGAACAAAATAAATATTGATTCCTTTTCTGAAAACTTCCCAGGGTTTTATTTATTGAAAACTACCAACATAATACCACTCATCAACAAAATACTTTCTTTGTTAGAAGGAAAATGACTTCTATTATTTTGAGTTTATTTACAATTTTGGGTCTGATTCAGAAATAGAGATAATGCTGTATGTGGGAAGGACAAAAATGAGATATCCTTAAGTAGTATGGTTTCTGTGAAATGTGAACTACAACAGTTGATGTAAATGTCTAAAATTTATGATTTAAACAAAAAAAATCCCATTTTATAAGCCTGTATATTTTCAAATGAGACCAGATTCCAATGAGTAGTCTAGGTTATCAGTATAAGATGAAAGCCATAAAAACTCATTCAAGGAAGTTTATTAACGGAAGTAACAGAAATTGATTGTAATTCAATAGACATGTAACATGGTGGTTCCTAGTATAAATGACTCTAGATTACATTACTACACTAAATGCTTTGAGTGTAGAAGAGGCTGATTTTGACAAGTAACTTAAATACCATATTACTAACAAGAATTAAGACCAAGTACCACCTAATAAACAGAAAACTAGTAAAGGAAACTTTTTATGTGCAATTTGGTTCATCTATCACAGAAGCCGTGGAAGACTAATAGACTACACAGAGAAGGAAAGGTCAGAGAATATTTTTACATAGCAACAACTTTTAATTTTAAAAGAATATATTTAACTCTAAAATAGAAAATATAAATAAGAGAACTAACATTTTTATTTGTATTTCTTACCAAAAAACATCTGCAGATGTACATTTGAACCTTGTATCATAGTAATCAAACGCTAATCTAAAAAAACCACTATGTTCTACCTTCCTTTCAAATGTTAATTATCAAAAACAGGTGGTATTTTAATAACTATTCAAGTGTCTTCACAATATTAAAATTTATATGATCAGTCACAAAAGTTTGTAATATTATATACAATGCACATTACTGAAAACTCTAAGAGAAAATAGTCATAAATTTCCTATTAAAACTTATTAAATTATTTATTCATTTTAGCTTTGTTTGTAACAATAAAAGGCTGGTAACAACCTATATGTCCATCAATAGGAAGCTGGTTAACAAGATTATGGTATATCCTATCAATAGATTCTAGTAGTGATAAAAAAAGAAAAAGCTCTTTAGGTATTGATAAAGTTACAAAATAGAGTAAGTGAAAATTGCAAGGTACTGAATGGTTTATACAGTATGCTACAATTTGCACAAAAAATATATTTTAAAAAGTATGTATATTTTTGCATATGAAAAATTATCTTTGCATAGGGAAGTGAATGCACACTCTTCTATACCCTTTTAATTTGAAAAATTTCAAAGTATATTACCTATTACCTATAAACTCCCTCACACAAACAACAGACAAAGATTCAACAAAACTATAAATTCAGAATTCTTTTAAAGTGTCTTCGATATGGACATCCAAAAGTTGAATTAAACACTCATTTTAAAATACTAAGCAGTATCTTACATATATACTCTAGAGGTGGTCCTAACAAAGTCAATGACATATTACATGTCAATAAAAACATTTAGCAGTGATTTGAGCTAATTTGAGGGAGAACTTTAATTTGGCTAATCTGATACAGAAAGATTACAGAAAGAAAAAAGGACATTCAATTTATAAGACATTTTGCTTTTAAACTCTTAAAAAAAAATGGCTAGAATTTTATTACAATCTTTTAGAACATACAAGTTAGTTGTTCATTTTGTTCCTTGGAAATCTAATTTTAATTTAGTCATAACGCACTTTAAAAATTCTTATAATTCAAATTTGTATTACACTTTAGCACATATGGACTTATTTGTATGCATTAACAATATTTACTTTTTGTGTCTAATGCTAAAGAAATTTAGTTAGAACTGGATGAACACTGTGCCAAATAAAATCTAGGGTGTAAATATTATTGTCATAATATTAAAGGAATATTACCAATGCCTCCACCAGCATGAGGAGGGGCTCCGAAGCGGAAGGAATCGATGTACGCCTTAATTTTCTCCAAATCTACAAAAAAGGGAAACAAACATAATTTATCATCTTATTTAGCTTAATAAAAAAGTACAAAAGCAATTATTGTTCAATGAAGATTAAAACAAATGACTGTGTTTTTGAGAAGTCTTTAAAAGGTTTAAAATGTGTTATTTTCAGAATATATATACTCTCCCAAATATATTTAAGTTGTTTACCAATTCCATGATGTAAGGCTCTCTCTGTTAGCAGCTGAGGATCATGTACTCTTTGAGCTCCTGACAGTATTTCTTCTCCTCTCATGAACATATCATAAGAGTTGGACTGTTTCTGCCCGAAAAAACAAACAAAAACACCACTTTTCAAGTGGCTATCATCCTATTTCCATTACACATACGTGGGAAAAAAATCTGTTACATGAAGAACAAATTCATTTTTTCCTACAATTAATGGTGTAACCTGCTTCAATGAACCCAATTTCTCTAAAACAGGATTAAACTAGTGAGGGCTAAATAATAACTTCTTCCTTGCTTCTATCAGATTTTATGCTCCTCCTCTACCACACCTTCTAATAACAAATCAGAGCACCATATCTAACTTCTAAGAATTAGTGCTGATTCTTATTTTGCTTTATCAACTGAAATGTTATTAAGTGTGATATGCTTTTTGGGTCACTTTTGGAACTTCAAATTACCAATTAAATTTTTTTTATTTAAAAAAAAAAGCAAATTAAACATCAATTTACCATAGCTTAACCTATTCCCTATCAGGTTGTAACTTACTTTCCCTGTCTTTGAATAAACCAGAGGTTCTCATAGTGTGAGTCCTGAATCAGTGGTATCAGTATTACCCGAACTTTTACACATTAGCAAGCCCTACCCCAAACCAATTGTAAAGTCCGGTGATGGGGCCCAGAAATCTGTGTTTTGAAAAGTCCTCCAAGGGATTCTGATATACACTAAAGTTTAAGAACCACTGCAATGGGAAAATAGTAAAAGGCCACAAGACATTATTCAGATTAGCTCCCAGGACAGAATGTAAATTCTTAGTTCAAGGTCAATAATAAGATAATTTGCTAATGTCTCTAAATCTACTAGTACTATTTATCATTTATATGGTGTTTCTTCCTTGTAAATCTTCAAAAAATAACACATGAAAATGATTTCTAATATAGGTTTTTGGGACTTATTTGCTAGAATATTCAGATTTCATTTTGACCTGAATTGATAGAAACTAGTAGTAATACATATAACATTGTGACCATTAAAACTGCAAATTACTAATGAAAACCATTATTCTTGTACAATTTGACATAGTGACAATAAAGTTTTCCTTCTTCCCCAAAACAGGTTATTTAAAATCAAGTTACTTACAGGATTTCTTGGGTCAGGCATGGTATAGAAAGGTCTTACAGCCAATGGATATTTATCAAGAATATAAAAATCTGTATCATACTATGAAAAGGATAAATATGATTAAAATCGTTTTTTAAAAAGTTTAATAAAAGTAAAAAGAAGGCTAACATTTTGGTAATCAACTGTCTTTTTTTATACACATTTTGTGCTTCAAGATTACTGTAATAATACTTTATAAAACGAGTATTTTGCTTCTTGCAAGTAATGTCTTTAGCCTACAGTATTTTGCCATGATGTTATGAATTCTTCCAATTCTTAATTTTTAGGACTATTCAATTGTAGTCCAAATGTTTATTTTTCTTTGAAATATGTAATCTCTCCAATTTGTCCCCCACTGAAAATTATGCTGCTTGCAAACTTTTCATTTTTTCCTTTACCATTCTAGCTCATTTAGTCCTTCAGATACATTTTATAGCTTTTTATGTTAAATTATCCCAAATATCTTAGTGTTTTATAAAAAGTGGCAAAAAAAAAAATCTATAAATTATTTTGGGAAAACTGACACTTTTATAATATTCATCTTCAAAAAACCTTATCTTTCCAATAATTAAATTTTAGTTTAGATATCTAAAGGAAATTTGGTAGTTTTCTTCATATGAAAACTACTATTGAAATAAATAATATTACCATGAAATTACCACATTTTTGTTAGAAAGAATACTATGTTACCTAGCTATAATCAAAAAGAAACCAATCACATTTTAACTGTTTTGATGTTAAACATTTTTACTAAAACTGGATTGTAGAAGGATTGTAAACTTAAATTGGCTCTGCTAAAACAGCATTTTAAAGATATAAACTCAACATAGCGCAGTTTCAGAAATATGATAGTTCCCCAGTCAGTTTTAACAGTTGAGAGTGCAACCAGCAGGAGGAGCTCAAGGACTGTTTTCATTTTATCACACAATTCTCTTAATTTCTTTAAAGAACACATTAAGTTTAGCTTTTATCGTCTTTGGAGTTTTAGAAAATGAGATGATTGAAAGTAGCTTTCACATAGAGGCAGTAAAGGTACTCAGAGAAGACCATTTCTAAATAATATCTAATCATCTTGAGGTCCTTTCTAATTAATCTGATAATCTGGCATAGATATCACTTTTAGAGATATCTCAGTACAACTTAGCACAAAAATTGAATATTGAGCTAATCAAACCATTTGGGCAAATCCCGTCTAAATATTTTTTATTTCTCCAAGATTTTTTTTTTAAAAAGTATTATTCCTCTAGGTTTTTATTTATTCTGGAATCATTCTATTCTAGAAAAATTAGTCACCTCTGCAACTTAATGTTAATACCAGGATCCATTTCAGATTTAGAAAAAGAAATACTGCATGTTCAAACATCCTACCTTTTCCTTTACCAAACGACCCAACAGTTTCTCATTTGGTGTACTGAAAAACAAAAAACATGAAATCAGGTGTTTGAAGATCAAACAGCAACTTAAAAAAGTTAATAAATTAATAAGGCACCTCTTCTATTTGAAGTTCTCAAGGGATAAAAAAAATTCAGCCAAAATACATTGTTGTTTATTCTGCTTCATTTTAAAAAGGCAAATACTACTGAAAACAACTTATAAATACATGCACCTGAAACAGTGACAAAACATTTATTAGATGCTGCTCAATAATATTTAAATAAAAGCATAAACAGAATTTAGCAATTCATCGATTCAGAAATAACATGGATGTTTTGAAACAATTTCCTATAGTAAAAGTTCACTATACTAACACAGGCTATTCTTGCCATTAAATGGTTCCACTTCAAATCCATTACTCTTTATCACAGGTTTATAAAACACAAATCAGTATTTCCAAGTCTTTAAAATATAGTGTATAAACCAGTTAAATCTCTAAAGTCAAGAGGTTACTACTTTATATCTATTTAAGAACAATTTCTAAAAACTTAAGAAAATATCATCCAACTTCATTATAAAATGTTTGGTTTGCCTTAAGATGTCATCTAGCTATTTAGGGGATGCTTAAAACCATACATATAGGTATATTTGTTAAACAAACAAAAATAAAGAGTTTTAAATAAAATGTTAAAAAAAACCTAAAAAAATGACAATCATATTA